GAGGGTCAGAAAGAGAGAGAAAGAGAGAGAGAGAGTGGGACAGATTGAGAAAGAGAGACTAGGAGAAAGATAGACAGAAACAGACAGACAGACAGACAGACAGAAAGACAGACAAGACAGAGAGGGACCAGAAAGAAAGAGAGTTAGAAAGAGTTAGAGAGAGAAAGAGAGAGCGAGCGAGAGACTACGAAAGAGAGACTAGGAGAGAGAGACTGGGAGAGAGAGAGAGGGGGAAGAGACACTAGGAGAGAAAGAGAGAGAGAGAGAAAGAATGAGAAAGAGAGAGACAGAGAGTGGTATAGATTGAGAGAGAGAGAATAGGAGAAAGATAGATAGAGACAGACAAACAGACAGACAGACTGACAAACAGGGAGAGACAGAGAGAGTGAGAGACAGAGAGAGACAGAGAGAGTGAGAGACAGAGAGAGAGAGAGAGAGAGAGAGAGAGAGAGAGAGAGAGAGAGAGAGAGAGAGAGAGAGAGAGAGAGAGAGAGAGAGAGAGGGGTTTTGTATTGGGTTTTTATTGGGGGGCTGGGGGGTATTTCTGGTGGGGGAGATGGATCGGGTGGACTGTGCGTTTATACCGGCAAAGTACCCAAAATGACCCTCTGAAACTTTGTTTGCCTGTCGATTCATTATTTATTGGTGTTTGTAGAATAACAGGCAGGGGAAACAATCGAGGGTGCGTGACCGACAGCAATTGTCCACGACAAACCCAATAAATAATATTAATAACCCAATAAAATACACTTTTATTTGTCCCAGAAGGGCACTTTGGTTTACAATGTCAAACATACATAATATACATACTTAAATACATAATTATAAATACATACATACATAAATACATGCATAACTGCATGCATTTATACATACATAATTCACAATGTTACACAAATATACAAAACAGTTTACAATCATGCCACTGTCGGTCGCCACTATAAAGCGCCCTGTATTTTGAGCTAGGGTTGTCATGTCTTGCTCAAGGACACACCCAAGTGACCACCCTTCTTATCCCCGTGTCAACGACACTTGCTTGACATTACTTGAGTCTAAACTCACTACTCACTTAGCCACTCTTTGATCACAGTGGTATCACAAAGGCGGGGGAATCTGGCGCTCGTTAGTTCATATCATCTTAAAGCTTGGTCATTATTCGCTACCTCATTTGTTTGTTTTTGTAAGTGTTTTTACGACGCTCGCAACTGCATAAGGTCATTTGAGCGCGCGGGACATATTAAACTTTTTCAGTTGGTAGGAAATTTTGAATTTTGCCCGGGTGGCGGCCGAAGCCTACTCTTATCGATTTTAGACCACCAAGGGATCTTTAACGTGCGCAACGTGCACACGGGCCCTCCGAGATTTTTCGCCCTTGTCCGAGAAGGCTAGGTGTAGATCTTTCCTACCAGAAGATCAGGGGTGTGGCTGAAAGACAGCAGTAAGAAGAAGCCAAGGAGTAGCAGTAGAAAGGCTATAGAAAGAATCAGGAGCCCAGAGGAGGGGGGCGCAACGGAGATGAGGGAGTGGGGGCAGAAAGAGGAGACTAAAGCAGACGACAGAACATTGCTAGAGAGCAGGAAAGGAGGAAAAAGGAGAAAAATTTAGATAAGAAGATTTGTCGGTCACTACCCGGATTCGAACCCGGGACCTTTGAATAAGAGGCCAACACCTTAACCTCTAGGCCACGAGAGCCCCCTCGCTACCTCAGAATTACAAAGTTCTATCTGACATGTTTGTCTGTTTTGAGTAACTAATACTTAAAGTAATACTACCCAGAGATCTGAAATCAAATTATGCTCTATCTGCTCTATCAAAATCTTAAGATTATTCAGAGTCGTTATCAAGATATTATTCAAAGAATTGTATTCGAGAAAGCATGACATAATTTTATGGTAATTTTTTTTTCGTCAAATATCTCAAAACTAGGTACTGAGCGGATGGAACGTTGTAATTGTGAGGTAGCGATATGTCTTTCTTTTAATTAATGATAATAATAATAATAAACAGCATTTATACTGCGCATTTCCATTTCCTAAAAGATGCTCAATGCGCATTACAATGAAAAAGACAGCACATCTTAAAAATTAATCGACACAAATGTGTACGTAAAACAAAGTATTATACATATAATATAAATGCATAATAATATGTGTAAAAAAAATTTTATACCATAAAAACAGTCTCGCAGTGAGGTTGACTCCAACCCCTCTAATAATAATGATAAAGAATAACATAGTCTTCGTAATCACAGAAACTGATGTACAGAGAAGTGGGAATAACACCAAGAAGCTAACCCAGGATAGACAAAAGGTGAAAGTGTTTATTCGTGGCCTATACCCTGGTGCACGGTAAGAAAGGCAATGATGATGATGATATTCTTCATAGTTGTATAGTAGACGTAGAGATTCTCTGTATTACAGGAGTTGGAGTCGCCTGGTGCCAGGAAAATTTCGCGAGAAAATGGCCGCCAATGGTTAGTGACTTCCAAAACTTTAATTTTAATGCATTTAGGAACTGGAAATTTACATTTTATGGAGTGCCTTTCATCAAAGTTAAAAAAAAAAAAAAATCACAAAGAGAGTGACAAACATACACAAGAAGTAGAGGCAAAATGGCGATAGTAAGGAAGAGGAAAGAAAAAGCAGCAGTTCCCCTGGCACAGTTTGAACATGACATTGATAAATCAGCCCATTTGCAATTCTACTGTACATAAGAACATGTTAATACCCCCCCCCCCTTTGGGAATGGCCTAAAGACACTTCAGTCAGTAGCACTGCCTGGGGGGGGGGGGACTTTCTGGCTTTTGACAATATTTTTTCATTATTTAATTTTTAATTT